TCAAAAAATACCTTTTCGCTTGTTCGGAAATACAATCCTTACAAGATCTCACAAATGCAGGCCAATATATCTGAACATTTTTTTCTTTACTTTTACAGATTTCACAACCTTTGCCAAAATTAAGTAATTGAGCGAATCGTTTTTGTGACATTCCTTTAGGTGGATCCATATCCTTGAACACCGTAAAATGTTCACGAGATGATTTCCAGATTTCTGAAGAAATGGCAAATATATCCGCGTCAAGCATGTTGGCAAAGTTTTTTGCACACACATGACAACATAAGTAGGTCTTGAGGTGGTAAATGGTCGCATATATTAACGAAGACTTCAAATGAAATATTATCCTGCATTTTGCCCTTAGGTGGATAGATAATAGGATCTGATAAAAACTCTAAAAGTTTTACCATTTGGACAAAATCTTCAGGATGGTAAGTCTTTGATACATCATCAAGATCCATACTGAAATATTTAAGTAAACCTAGTTGTCTTTATACATGAGTGTCGAAAATATTATTCTGTGTTAAAAATATGTAGTAGATCTATTGTTGATTTCCCGTGATAATTAACCAATCAAAATACATAATTTTTTATAATTTTTTTTTTTTAACAAAGTTAATCTTTTCTCATAAAATTTATTTTCCAAAAATTTTATATATAAAAAAAAGCATATAAACCTTTTTATAGACTTTTAAAAAAACTTCACCCGGATAGTAAATATAGTCAACCCTTTTTTTTACAGCTATTATCATTATTTCTGGGACACCTGAAGAATTTTCAGATGACCGAAATATCCCCTGTTTCATTCAGTAAATTTATCTAGCTTTCCGGAAATTACATCGCTGTCTTCGGACTTAATGTTCCGAGAAATTTGAAACAGAGGATATTTCGGTCATCTGAAAATTCTTCAGGTGTCCCAGAAATAATGATAATAGTTGTAAGAATTTTGCGAAATTTGACCCGGCCAGGTTATGAGAACCAATTTATTAAGTTTGTACGGCCTTTATAAAGGCCATAAAAATTTAATTACAACTGTTTTCATAAATTCTGAAAAATCTGGCAAAAAATTGACCGACCGAATATTTGCCGATAAGTTTTGATAAACTTTAGATTCGGATATTATTACATCCGAATCAAAAGATTATCACTGCCGAATCAAAGCTTATCGAATCGCAAATATTCGGCCGGTCAATTTTTGCCAGATTTTCCAGAATTTATGAAAACAGCTATAATTGTTTCTCATAACCCGGCCGAGTCAATTTTTGGAAACTTTTGAAGAAAGATTCTTATTTAAAAATTTTATAAAATTTTATGTTATGAGAAACAAAAAATTAATTTTGTATGGCCAAACTGATAAATGTACACTATCACATATATCTAGAGAATAGATAGGCACGCATAAGCGGGTAAATGTTATATTTATTGCTAATAAACTAGGGTTGTTAATGGAGTACTCCAAGCTATAATAAAACATATAAACCACTCCAGTTTTAAACTGTAGTGGTTTATATGTTTATTATAGCTTGGAGTACTCCATTAACAACCCTATAATAAACCCAAACTCATTAAAGAACTTTTATATAACACAAGAACCGAACATTTAATCCAAATCTTGTACTAAAGATCTATTCAAATTAAACAGTTAGTAATAAAAATTTAACGTAATAAAATAGTTTTAGACAAAAACATTTCTAGTTATGGTATAATTTGATGTGATCCAATAAACGGTAGGTATATTTTGTTTTCCAAGCCAAGTTCTTCAGGTTCCCGACATGTACAGTACCGGACAGCAAGAAACATCCACTTTTTATATATAAATATAAAAATGCTTATAACTTGCAAACAAATGAA